AAAAAAAAAAAAAAAAAAAAAAAACTAGGAATTTCTCAAAAACCTCGTACTGCAAAAAATACTGCTAGATTTCGTTCCGTGATCAAATACTGCCCTACATCTACTCACCATTTATAAAATAGCGGTCATTTGTTATCTTGAAAGTTTGCTAGTGAAAACCAGGAAGTGTCATCTGACTAAAAAATTGCATCAAAAATAAAGACAGCCACGAAAATAGAAACTTGCAATAGGAGAGTTATGAGACAACGAGAAAAATATGCTTATCTAGTTGAAATCAAAATGCCAGAACATAATGATTCGAGGCTAGGAATCAAAAGAACTTTTTAAACAGTGGAATAAATCAGAAACTGCTTAAATAAGCAGAATTAGATACATAATGATGGTAAAATTAAGAAGAAAACTGATTCAAATCAAAAAATAAAATGAAAATAAAAATAACCTTCCACAAGACGATAATAAAATAAGTGGATATATGATGTGAAAAGCTTCCTTTTTAAATCGCTCAAATATGCGCTCCCAATAAACCCTAAGCCACAAAAATATGCAGAAAACGAAACGACTTATTAAAACAATTGTTCGTTTCTTACAGAAGCTGAAGTCACCCCCGTCCTCATTGCTAAACTATAAAAACTGCAGAAAATTTACTTCTATTGATACCAAAAACACTGTAGAAGTTAAAACGAAGAAGAGAAGACGGATGTTGTTGATAACACTTTACCAGAAACCTCAAACTTATTTCATAGCAAATTTCTCACTGGTTTCATAACTCGACTAGTCAAAGCCCTTCCTGCTTTCCCGCACTTTCTAAGCAAAAATTTCTGAAAAATTAGCTTAATATTTTAATCCTCCTCCATAAATTTCATGCATATTTTCACAGGCTTCAACTATTCGAATTAAAAAGCTCAAGACTCCCCCAGGATAAACGTTAGCGTACGACACAACTACTAATACTAGCTCCATATGAATTTCATTTTACAATCTCCGATATCATCCATTTCTGTCGAAAACAGTAACTATACCTTTAATAATCAACCCATCTTCAAAGTACAATTTCAGTGCCGAAATTTAAACAATTTATTTAATAAAACATAAACCAACTAACCTCAAATTTCCTCCTTATCCAGCTACCGAATGCTATTAGGGAAAACCCAAAGCAAAGCCACGAAAATACTACTGATTCTGGTCCAAGAATAATACAAAAACTGACAAAAATATGATTAGACGTTAAAAAAATATGCAAACTAAAGAAGGTATAACAAAATAAATTCCAAGAAAGTTATTGTATTCTTTTATATTTAAAGAAGTCAGCAATAATCTCACCATCGTTAGAAACTGTCAAACCTTCTCGAACAACATAG